AGCTAGAAAGGTTCATGTTGAAGTTCCAATAGCAGCTGTTCTAGCACAGGATAGTGCTGACCTTGTGTATGTCATTGGGGATATAATCTTCAGTTCAAATATTCTACACAGAGACAAGGTGTACAGACTAATTCACATATCACACACAGAGAGAGAGAGAGAGTGAGAGAGAGAAAGAGTCCACATATCCATCTAAAAGAGTCAAGGCATAAAGAAAGGAATGCAGCTCTTATCTACAGACTCATATAAAGATACTCAAATGGAAGCTGCAGAGGCATACAGCATGTTAACTAAGGCTCTGAATACAAACGGCAGAGACATAAAAGTGCCTAGGGCAGAAGCATGCACAACACCGATTACCTTAAATACAGTCACTTCCTGATAGATGACAGTCTTCTGAGGTTCTCATTGACAGGCTGTCAAGGAACCTTCATTTAAACTTGATTATAAACAAGTGTTTTACATTTGAAAATATGTGTTCTTTAATTGTTAGCACCCTCCACAATATCTCTCCTAATATTATAACACCAATGTCAAACAGTTTACACTCTCGGGATTTCCTGCTCTTTTATAAGGTTACATATGAAGACTGGTAAAAGAGCTCCTGTGTGGGTAGCTCCATTTTATTTGGGTGAACTCAAAAAATAAAAATTACACACACTAGTGACCTTAAGTGCTTTTAAACATAACCTTGTGGACTTATTCTACACACTGAAATGCTTAAGTGCTTTGCTTTGTCTGTATTTTCAATAAAAAGTTTTATAAGGAAATGTTGTGCTGTTACTTATGTTTCCCATTCTTTCTTATTTTTCATATTTGTGTTGGTTAATAACATAATTATACTGCCATTTTGTCCAAGATTCACTCTTAGAGATTGCAGTCTCAAGAAAGCAACCTTAAATACATTTCAAATAAAAATAAAGTGCACAATACTGAAGTCAACATCATTACAGTAACCAGTCTGTTTTAAACAAATGACTAAATGTTCACACGGCTGTGGAGGTTCTCTGTGTGGTTGGAGCTGAAGAAACAAATGCAACACCCCCCACCCCCACCCCACCCTGATGCTGCAGAGGTGCTTGAGCTGAAAACAGCGAAACAGCCAGGCCCAGCACACACAGAGACACAATATGCAAAATATGCAGTTTGGAAAAACTTCCTTTGGATTTTAGCTGCGTTAATTCTTCAGCCTAGTTTGGTTCATGTTAATCAGCATCATCTAATAAGTCTCCAGGCACCGCTCTGTTACATTCATTTCTGTTTACCACTCTCCTTGGAATGTTCGGAAATATAGTCTGTATCATAATACTCAAGGAACGGTCAAAAATTCAGATACGGTATCATTCAGATATTTACAACTAATTTTAGCCTTAAATAATGCTGTGAGCATGATGCCAACAATGTGATCATACTGAGGCTTTTCTGGTGGCAGAGGACAAGTTATACTACATTTCTGGTTTCTAAGGATGAAGAGCTACAACTTGCCTTGAGGACTTCAGTTTAAAAGATGCACAGTAGTTTGGTTTCAGGTTCCCAGCAGCCAGTGCAGAACATTGCAATTTAGAGAGCAAATAGAAAAAGATACTCTGTTCGTTTTTTTTCCACTTTTACTGCAGTGAGGCCAGGTGTAGGCAAAACTTAACTGCCAATTCAGTAAATAAGCTGCCAAGTCAACTGTTTTGGACTTGGCAGTTTTGCTTTTCACGCCAAATATATGTCTATGAAATAATTCTGGTAATTATGTCTATTAAAAAAAAATTGTGAATCTGCATGGCCAGTTGTCTTTGATGCTAACACTGAGTCTCATTAAGGCATTTGTGTCTGGAGTGTGGCCAGAAGTGTCATCTGTGTGTCCCATTTAATGTTTAGCTAGCCTATGTGCCTGAATCAGGGACAATGATGTAGATCACTAAATCAGAGTAGACTCTATGAATGACTCCACATTGGCTTGATTTAGGATTTAGTCAGTCAAAATCTGTTCTTAATTTTTGTTAAAGGAAAGCGTTAACAGTTGCCTGTGGGGTAAGCCATGAGAAGAAGAGGCCATTTGACACAGCACAACACACACAGTATTGTAAATGCTGCACCTTTACTGGCTGTCAGCCCTGTTTTTGTAAAGGATTTTCAGCATGGATTACATTCACTGACAGTGTTTTTTTCCACTCCAGGAAGAGGTAAATTCTTGTACCACACACAAGTCAGGCCGGATGCTTGAGTGTACAAACCACAAGATCTGTACTTGTGTCAAAAGTCCTGTCTGCAAAGGTTTTGACTGCAAAAATATTTTGGTTAGAGTTGGGTAAAATTGTACTTTTGGTTAAACATTGGAAAAGAAAACGCCCTCTTTCATATGTCAAGTGAAACCCCAACTTTTTTTCAGTAATTATTGCCATGTTCATGTCCTACATTTTGGATGATAGAGATGATTGAGATAAGTGAGATTTTCATGTTTATGGTATGCAAGCATTCGCAAAATCAGACGTTGTATGATGGCACAACACTCAAATCTGGGTTAATTACCCCAAATAGCTGAATTATATCAGCTGAGTTGTATTGACTGAGCATCTATGCTTGTTTGGTTTGCAAGCACTTTCATATTATCAGTGGCACAGTTGGCAGTAACCTCAGGTCAGAGCTTCACAGTTTCACTGTTGTAATTATGACATGGACATTGGTCATAACAATCACAAATACAATTGCAACTATTATAATTACATTAAACTTGATGTAACACAACACAGCATTAACCAAGACCATGATGTTTTCCCAGCTCTTATCGGTGATGTTGCCATGTCATGTTTCAAGGATTATTTTGCTACACATACACATGAGCTTTCTGTTCTAATTGATAGTTTTCAAAGTCGTTTCTCCAACACTGCCTACCACCTACCTAGTATTTTGCTGTGTGTTGGCTTGACAGTTCTTCTATAGCTGAAGCTCTACAAGTATGCATGTGATTATACTTTAAATTTATGTGATCAATAACACATCACATGATGAAGAACACTGTTTTTTTAAGCCAAGTGGTTTTTATGAAGAAAAAAAAATACATTTTAAACAAGTAAATAAGCTGTGGTGGTGAACTTAAAACCAAGTTTAAATATATATACTGTATATAAATTAGCCCACCATTATTTCATATCTTTGTTGTGGCATGGAAACAATCCATTTTTAGACTACAGCAATAAACATTAGTACTCCCATCTAGAGCAAGCACAAACATAAAACTGTTTTCTCTTTATCGAAGGCAGGTTGAGTTATCATTGACACACACTTCTCTGAATCACACCGGACAAATTATATGTGGTGAGCAGTGATATTTTATATGCATCAGAGTTTTATGGTTGCAGACCTCATCACAGATCAAATGTGCACATCAACACAGTAGTGTACAGTAGGTCTACACAGTGGTATTGTAGTGTGTTTATGCCTGACTAAGGCAGATTGAGTGGTTTGGTTGTTCACATGCGGAGTTTTAACACTAAGCAATCATGTCATCTCCTTAGGCAGCAGGCAGATATTGTCTGAGGTGATATGTGCCGTCAGATATTGTGGAATACAGTAAAAATAAGGTTGATGATTTAACTCTAGCCTTGCAAGTCCTTCTTTAAAATAAAAACAAGAAAAAAAATACAACAACAAAAGACCACAAACAATGAATCGTTCAACTAAGCAAGCAGCACTTACATTTCCATTAACGGAAAGGAAACTCTTCACAGCACTTTAATATCTATGCTGTCCAGTGCTTGAAGTCTCTCAGAGGTTGGAGTTGCATTGTAAAACCATGCAGGTTATCTGATATCTCACCACACTAGAGGATTCTTTACCTTTGATGTATATGCACTAATGTCCATCCTACAAAGGCCATGTGTAAATGGCAGCACTTCAGTTGGATTGGGGTGTGTTTGTAGACAGGTTAATCTGATTGTATCTAAGATTCACAGACTCAGCCTCAGTGCCCAAAATACCACATACTCCCAAACCAATAGAAAACAGCCACATAGAAAGATGTTCCACTTGACTGGCCAATCACCACTTATACTTCCTTTAGTGGAAAAATCTGCACAGATCATGACATCTGTGACAAAGAGCACTTTGTTGTCTTTCAGCTCTCGGCCACTATCATACATGGAGGGGCTACACATTTTTCTGGTCGTTCTCTTAGGTAACGCTCTTCATACAACATTTTGATGATTTAGTTAGAATTGTTAGGTTCCATTTTGAGAGGAATTCATACCTACATTCTAATTGTTGATGTGTTGAGCAGGAACTGGCTGCTGCTATAATGTGAAATCCTGTAGCACTGTGCACATTTTGATCTGCCATTTCGACTGTGTTTGTATCCCAGGAGTCGTTTCCTGCAGTCATGATGGGTCTTTTGGATCAGTGTCGGAGGTGACGGTGAGACCAGGAGACAACATCACTCTCTACTGTGACACAAATACATCACCACCAAACATATTTACAGTTATGGAAATATCAGAACAAGGATCAGATGTGGTGAGTATTCACTGTATATATTGTTGCAATGAACATAGCACTTTGCAGTCTGACTAAATGATTGTTGTTTAGTTGAAAAGTGTCCTCTAATATTAATGTGCACTATACAGTATGTGCACATTAGCTGCACTGAGAACCCCCAGTCTGGAGAACAAATTGTGCTCAACGTTTTCCCTCCCTCATGTAACTGACATGTTTTGAGCCATTTTTAAACATTCACCCAATATTTTGCCTGATTTATTAGGATAAATTTACATTTGAGATCTTACATAAAGACTCAAACAAGGACAAAAGTGCACATTTGACATATTGCATTAACAAGCTGAACATATAATGATTATGATTATATTTTTTAAAGGCAACGCTGAAACAGCCAAAGATGAAAAAGCTTATCAACAAGATAAATCCAGTAGAATACTGATCATGGGTCTTGGCAGAAAAAAATTACAATGGAAATGCAAAACATACTCTGCACAATAAAAACTTCTCCACAAGCCCATCTGAATTTTAATTAGGTCAGTATCAGTTGTGTGAGGTCATAGTTTTGTGAAGCTAAGTGACACAACTTTGTGTGTAATCCAGATAATTCCAGTACACTTCTTCACTGTGAGGCTCAACAAGACTGTGGCTTGTGCTGGACGCTGCTTTTCTCTCTGTGCCCAGTTTTTGCAGTTTTATCTTCTCTCCTCTCCTCTGTTGTGGTTTATCACCTCTGCCAGAGAAAAGGTATCTATTGTACAGTTAACTTTTTAGGCTTAATGTTTTAATATCAGAAATAGCCTTAGTTATTCATCTACAAAAATGTATTTAAACCACAAAGAAAATTGGATTTATATGTTTGTTTTTACATTGTAACGTGCTGTAATGATTTACAAAATATTTATTTCTGCAGCTAAAGAACTTCATTGTGATCAGCAACGACTTGACTCTAGAGGTCAAACAAGACTGAATCAGGTAATTTACAGCAGCTAGTGATTATAATGAATCAGACAGCGGCACAGTGGTTAGCGCTGTTGCCTCACAGCAAGAAAGTTCCAGGCTGACCCGGGGCCTTTCTGTGCAGAGTTTTCATGTTCTCCCTGTGCCTGTGTGGGTTCCCTCCGGGTACTCCGGTTTCCTCCCACAGTCCAAAAACATGCATCTTAGGTTGATTGGTGGCTCTAAATTGCCCGTAGGAGTGTGAGTGTGTGTGGTTGTTTGTTTAGATGTTAGCCCTGTGATAGACTGGCGACCTGTCCAGAGTGTACCTAACCTCTCATCCAATGTCATCTGGGATAGGCACCAGCCCTCCTGCAACCCTGTTCAGGATAAGTGGTTTAGATAATGGATGGATGGATTATAATGAATCATAATATTGAATCAGTGTATGATCATAATTCAAAGCAACAACAACTGTTTACATTTAGGATGAAGATGTGTGTTATGCTGCGCTGGACTTTCATCAGGCATCACAGAGACCAAAGCAGAAGAAAGCTGAGTGTTCAGACTTCAGCACTTACTCTGCCATCAACACTTCTCAGTTGTAATGAAGAAGGAATGATTCATTTGCAGGGATATTTAGATTCCCTATTAAAAGCAGAGCAACAGCCATCATCACCTCTGACTTATAAGTATGAACATATGTACATATAAAGTTTCTGTTTTGGTTTGTTTTTGCTTTGCTTGAAGGTAAAAAGCAATAATTTTCTTCAAAAATGAAAAAGTTCAAATTGTGAATAATACATTTTCCTACACACAGTAATTAGAATCCTCTTAAGTCTACTTCCCTTTTCTCTGTTTTTCATTGTTTTAAATTGTTTTGGACACATGACCCACCGTGTATATGAATACATTAATTCTTCAACAATAGATGCATCTCGTGTATTTTATTTCCTTACATCACTTAAATAACAAATAAGAAAGTAAATAAAAACATCCAGAGTAAAAGCCTGTTGTTGATGCAATAACAATTTGCTTCAGACTCACTGTTTTGATTGAAATTGATCTGGACCATTTCATAATAGCAGTGATGGCTGCTTATCTGTAACAAGATATGGTTTTAAAGCAATTTCCTGTTATTGCCTCAAGTTAGCCCACAGCCCCAACCCTTCACCAGTGGAGTTTGATACAACTCCAAGTATTTGCCAAGCTGGAGCTTGTTCTGCCACAAAAAATAAAACTCAGTCAGTTGCTTATTTATAGATGACTCCACTACACTGCTTGCAAGAGGCTAACACAACAATCACGCACTGTAGCACAGGAAAGTTCACAGGAAAACCACCAGATGACAAACACTCACATACTGTATGACAGCAAAGCTTAACATGCAGACAGGCTGCAGATAGAGTAAAGCTCTAGGCATAGTTTTATTGTTTATAGGTCACTATATACATGGAAAAATCCTCCTTCAAAAAGACACAAAAACACAATTGATACCGTAGGCCACACATAAGTAGAAACATTTTCCTTCTGCCTTGTTGCATTTATTTTAATAAATATTAAAATCAGGTAACTGTGTTTAAAATAAAACATATTCTAACTAAGGCAGAATTTGTTGTCTCCGCAGCCACCATGCTTATGTTTTTGTTTGTTAGTTTGTTTTTGGTGTATATCTGGTTCAGTGTCATATCAGTGACTGCAAATTTGTGAGAGTCATTACATTAGTTGTACTGTAGTGTGCACATAGTGTGTGTGGAGTACATTTAATAATATTGAATTGAAATTGTGCCGTTTGAGCACTTAGCCACACCAGGAGCAGCGGAAATGGTAAATGGACTTACACTCATATAGTGCTTTTCTGTGCATTGAAGCACACTCATAATGCTGTAAAATAAAGCATAAAAATACACATCAGTATGTTTTGTAATTCTTCGAGGCAAAGCCTCTTAGTTGCTGTTTGTAGTGTGGTTGGTTGATGATTATTATCAAGCCTTGTTTGAAGAAATCTTGTTTTCCCTGCAAGAAACATTACTTATGAATGCACTCAGAGAAAACAACCACAGAAGAAAATGTTCCATTCAACGAGCCAATCTCCACTTACATTACCTTTAATGGAAACTTGTGCAGGTGGTAACATATATGAGTAAGAACATATATGAGTAAGACTTATTAAGATGTTTTTCCAGTCCAGGTCATCATGTACTCATGTATGGGCTGTATGGTCATCTACTGGTTCCCCTAGGTAGTTGTTTTGATATCCCATTTAAGAGGTTACATTTTCATTGTTAGGTCTAAGCTTTAACCTTAGCCACATTTCAACGTGCCTTTATGATGTGCTTTTTTTCCCCAGGAGTTCTTTCTTGCCATCATGGTTGGTTTACTGGATTAGTGTCAGATGTGACAGTTAGACCAGGAGACAACACCCCTCAATACTGTGACTGCAAATGATTAAGTGGAGTATATATCATTTGGTACAGAAACTGCTCTCATGAAAACAAACATACTCTTGTTCTAACAGTGGAATATGAGCCAAACAATGGACACTTTATAAATATATAAATCTATTCCCTATGACCTGCTGACCTTACAGGCATCACAAAACCAAAAACAAAGAAAACCCAGAGTTTAGATTTCTGCATCTATTCTGCAATCAATATATATTATATATATATATAGTATATAGTGAAACTTTCTGTTGAATTTATTAATAGTAATGGTGGAACAGTTAATTTTTCAGTAGTTTATGAAGCCAGCAGTTCTACCAATCTGTAAATGCAAGGGTGACAAAGACAAAGTTTTGAAGTGTTATCATGAAGTGATTTGTTACAATATTAATTTTGTTAACAAAAGCTATGACAAAAACATTTAACAGCTTATTTTTGATGATGAAACCACACTAAAACCTAATAAAAACTTTTTTGTTAACAAATAAAAACAAAACAATAATGTGAAAGCCATACAAATGGACATGAAGTAATAGTATTTAAAAACCTGCTGCATCTGTGGAATCACAAACTGTAGCTCCTGATAAGTAAAGGTTTCTCCATTTGTCAAAAAGTTGAGTTAACTATTTGACCTGTGTGCACTAGCACTCATGAACAACATCTTACATTCAATCATATTGTGTTGCTGTCGTCTCACATTACTGTTTATTGGAAGAAACTCAATTCATCTATAATCCACTGAGGATCAGACAAGAAGACACAATAAACACCTGACCCAAGCTAGGAAATGAACTTTGGGTCATAACCGAAAGGGCAAGATCCCGGATACAGGCGGCCCAAATGAGCTTTCTCCGCCGGGCGGCCGGGCGCACCCTTAGAGATAGGGTGAGGAGCTCAGTCACCCGGTAAGAGCTCAGAGTAGAACCGCTGCTACTCCACATCAAGAGGAGCCAGCTGAGGTGGCTCGGGCATCTGCTTCGGATGCCTCCTGGGCGCCTTCCTAGGGAGGTGTTCCGGGCATGTCCAACCGGGAGGAGGCCCCGGGGAAGACCCAGGACACGCTGGAGGGACTATGTCTCTCGGCTGGCCTGGGAACGCCTCAGCATTCCCCCAGAGGAGCTGGAGGAAGTGTATGGAGAGAGAGAAGTCTAGGGAACCTTTGCTTAGACTGCTGCCCCCACGACCTGGTCCCGGATAAGCGGAAGAAAATGGATGGATGGATGGATGGATGAACAAAACAAGTTTTAGTCCAAATTTGAGTGAATCTAGCTTCTGAGTCACTCATTGCTTTGCAGCTGGGAACACCTGTAATCATGGTAACTGTACAAAACAAAAATAAATGGACTGTATTTATATAGCGCATTTCCACAGTGTGTTACACTGGCCAAAGCGCTTTACAGAGATGATACACCATTCACCCAGAACATTCACACACCGATGACGACAGCTGCCACACAACAGCACTAATCAAGCCACCGGGAGCAATTCGGAGTTCAGTGTCTTGCTCAGGGACACTTAGGCATGCAGGGAGACCAGGAGTCGAACCACCAACTTGCTGGTCAAGAGACAACTGCCCTACCTCGTAAGCCACAGCCACCCCACCCCAAAACAGTGACAGTTATACCTTCAAAATGCCTTAGAAGTTATAAGGCTCTATTGTATGCAAGCTACTTAGATGCAGCTGTAAATATTCAATGTGCTGCTCTGTCTTGGTAGATGCAATACACTGTTCATCCAACAGGAGGCCACCTAGTTAGGTCATGTGATTTGTTCAGTAGAAACAAAAATGGCTATGATAAGAAGTGCTTCATTTTGTTGCTGTTAAATTGCAGCCGGCAAAAGAAAAAAGAGGCCAAAGATGGTACATTTGTCCAAAAACGCCCCTCGCTGCCAGCCATTGTCATTTTGAAGTTTATTAATAACAGTGCTTCTGTAAACAGACCTCAGAGTAAGTATTTGCATTAGGGCTTCTGTCAAAAACGCATGAAATAAAACTTGCACTTGTGTTGTTACAAAATTTTGGACAATGCTTTCCTTTTTTTTTACACAAGTACATGCCAAAACCTCTTTGCATAGTTGGATGCCCTCGTGGTTGTGTGGCTTGCGTAGAGTATGAGAGCCTTAAAATGATAAACTAAAAGTAACAACAATGAAAAGACAAAAATTTAACTACACTGATATGCATGTTCAACAAACTAAAGGATGACACACAAACACCTGCATCCATTATGCAAGCCCACACACCGGCAGCAAACTGACGCACATCATCATGGGTTGACATCATCAATGTTGTCCTATTTTCCCAGCATCCCACACTGAATTTACACCGTTCCAGTGTGTGTTACAAACATTATGTGATGCATGTCACATGACACAACACGACACCGCCAGCGTGTGTTGCCCTTTAAGGCTAAATCAAATTTGGGTGCCAGGATTAACACTGATTTCTTATACCAATAGAAATATATCTGTCACATTTTCCCAGTAAACCTTTTTAATAATCCTAGTAATTATGTGGCCATTGTAATACAACTGTATGATTTCAGTACTAGTAAAGCTGATTGAATTAGATTATGTTAAACTATAGGCTACCCATTATTAGTACCATGAACCACAATGTGCATTAATTCAAGGAAAAACATTTACAATGACTTAATTTCTTCATTCATTATTTTATTCTTCAGAGCATGTTTTATTTACTTCCAGTGTGGTTAATGTGGTTCACTAGCCTACAATGCAGCTTCAAATTTGTTCTTTTGTTCAGATTTGTGATTGAAATCGATCTATAACATTTCATAATGGTAGTGAGGATTGCATCTCTGTACTGTAACGAGACACAAAAGCTAGTCACTGGCAATTTCCTGTTTTTATTTCAAGCCAGCCATCAGCCCATACACCCTTCACTGGCAGTGTGATAATTGGTAAAACCCACAGGAACCCCACAGTAACAAACAGCCCCTTATACAAGAAGAAGAAGCTGCTGGTTTTGTTGAGTTTAATTTAGAAGATTTTTTAGTTTAAAAATGCAGCAAAATGTTCACATGGTAAGAATTATCACGGTTTCTTTGGAGTCAGCAGTCAGTTGTTTAGTTAGATATTGTTAAAACATGTTTAACTACATTCAGGTTAAACCGTAGTCAGTATGTAGAGGCTCTGCAGCCACCTCTATTGACATGAACGGTTTATTTTTGAACTTGCATCATATCGGTGACCAGATCCT